GGCACCGCTGGTAACGACTAAACGACCTGTTCCTGTGTATAGTTTTCAAAGAACTTTACCCTTTTCGGACACGTAGGGACGACGGATTCCCGTCACGCATACATATATCTTCAAGCATAAGCTAGACCGCACTCAACACTGAACGGCGTCTTTTAGGATCAAATAACTCTTGAACTCATGGGTATTTTGTTACCACTGTACTCACAGCTGCTTATAGCTTTCTATCACCGAAGACTAAACATGCGGTGGGGTGCTTTCGTTACATCACAACAACAGTCGCTACTTCACACCCCACATCTGCTCAAACAACCAAAGCCCCGGCCCTCGCCAGCAAGACATCAAAACCGGCATCCCCGCGCACAAATTCCATTACCTTGTCCAGAAGCCCCTCCAACAAGTCTGGCTCCCTCACCAAGTACTTCTTCAAGAACGCGACCGCCAACGCAGTCGCCCATACTTTCTCGTCTACTCCAAACTCCGCTGCGCGGCCCATATTCTCTTTCCCGACGATCTCGCCGAAGGCATCGCTTAAATCGAATGATCCGTCGTATGCTTGCAACTGGACCAAATCAATGACCGCTGAGGATATTGGAGGTCGTGCTTGCTCTTGTCGTTTGCGGGGCAGAGATTGCTCCTGCAGGATTGGAGAAGCACTGCGGATATTATCTACGTCTGCGACGACGGAAGGTGGCGGACTGGGCGACGGTGTTCGGGAGGATGCCCAATCGGATTGCGAGCCGTCCAGCGAGCTCATGGTCGACCGCGAGCCCACGCTGCTGGCGCTCGCGCGGGACGTTGAAGTGTCGCGAGAACCATCGAAAGCACCAGGAACGCGAGCCCTTCGTCTTCGCGGAAGGCGATCTGAGTCCGTGCCGAGGAACTTGAATGCCGCGCCAATACCGCCAGCTAACCACCCTGCTACTGCAAACGCTGCATCTGCAATAGTTCCCAGCGAGCTAGGCTCCGCTATGCTGTCGGCAGTGCCGCTTTCGTGGCGCGAGGATCTTCTTTGAGATGTATCAAGCTCTCTTCTGGCTGGTGCGCGGACGGCAGCACCTTCCACAGCGACAAACGAGGTATACTTGCTCGCGAGCTGATATTGCTCGCCAACAAGCACAGTGACCTTCGCCTTCAAATCTCCGGTCGGCTCAGTCAGCAGCTGGGTGAACATGGGCCCGGGATCACGACCGTCTTCGTATTCAGTGATAAGGCGGCGTGCAGCCATCGTATGGAGCAGAGGGATGTAGGCGGAGTCTGGCGAGAAGGGCTTGACGATATCTACAGGGATGATATGCTCCAATGTCGCAGAATCAAGCGAAACTCCACTCAACCGCCCTCGCAGAGTGACTTCCTTAGGTGTTCTGTTTCTGCTCCGGTGTGGCAGGCGCGCGACGAGGATGATGTTGAGCCTTGACCCAGGATCTATATGCTTGATTTGCTGTGGGATCTGCTCGTAATGCTCCACTATTATCGGTGAAGGCTTTCAGCACCGGTTGAGGATAGCAAGAGGCCGCAGTACTTACATCCGGCCACATCCTGGCTTCCAAAGCCCCAGTCCAGAGTCACATCTTCCAAAATTCCCTTTCTTCCCGCACGCAGCAGCCGTGCGCACTTACCGACTATCTTCTCAGTTGACGACGCAAACAAGCACACCCCGTTCCCAGCCCGGGCTATGCCCTCGCACATCGCCGACGAGACCGTTTCGCCGATGCCCAGCGTGAAGACCCGCAGAGGCGCAGACCGTGTAGAGTTCCGTACACATGTCGAGACGATGTTGACTGTTTCTTGGATATCGTATGTCTGTGCGGGCCCAAGCATTGAAAAGACAGACTCCGGCGGACAGTTACCAGGCAGCTTACCTCTCCATCCGTCAGCACAAATACCACTGTTGGCATTGTTGGATCTCTGGACCCTAGCGCAAAGGCAAGAGCGGAGCGGATCTGAGTCCCTCCGTAATCGGCGTCCATTCCTTCTACATGGGACGTCTGATACCGTACATTCAGCGACGGCAATATAGACGCAGGAAAGACTCACAGCCATATCCAATGTTGCCCCGGTATAGCCCCTGCTCCCCCCAGCAAACAAGCTGTCTGCCATATCTCCGAAGCTCCAGATATTGAACATTGTCGTCCTTCCTGGGCCCTCTTCCGCATTTGGTAACATGCGAAGGAGGATCTTGATCGTGCGTTTAGCCGTCCGTATTCGCTCGCCCGCCATACTCCCACTGCGGTCGACGACGAAAATGTACTCCTGCGGCGGCACGGGAGGCAACTCGAACTTTGGCACCAGAGTCAGCTGCATTGCAATTGTCCCCAGACGATCATCACGTTCCGCCACACACCGTGGTGCATCGAGTCCATGCGCTTCTATTACCAGAACAAAGTCTCGGCGCAGGAAGCTTGACGAGCGGAACGCAGCGGAGATGCGCCTGCTCGAGTTACGACCCGTCTGCGTCTTCCGTGGGATCAGCGGGCCCAGTGTGTGCGTAGGGCTGCTGACGCTAAGTATGCGTCCCGGCATTTGGATGTCAGCTGCGATGCGGAGGCGGCTGCGTGCCCCAGGCAACGCCGCATCCACGAGAGCGGCCGGAGGGGCACCATAGCGCTCACCGAGGGCCATGGGAAGTTGAAAGCGAATCTGGTTGGGGTGTTCGTCTTCCATGAGATCCAGGACATACTGCATACGGTGCAAGTGCTCAGCGCTCAACTCTTTCGACAAAAGATTGCGCTTAGGCAGCACGTACGACAAGCTTAGTGGTCACGCTCTCCCGCGCGGGTATGCTTCCAATGGAGATCGTGAACACTGATATTCACATTTTGGTTAGTCTGCAAGCGCTGCCTTGCCCGACTCACCATCATCAGTAGCCCACTCTACGAGGGCAGTGACCCTGCCCTCCTTCAAAGCTTCCGCATGTTCGTCCGCGGCCTTTGTTTTCTCCTTTGCCTCGCCCACGATCACGCGACCATCGGCGTGGGTGAGCTCGAATGCGCAGACGGCGGCCCGGGAGGGAACAGGGAAGACGTATTTGGCGCGAGCGGTCGCCGAGGGGGCGTTATTGACATACCTTTGTGTGAGCAGCACGCGGGCGGTCACTGCATGTGCCAATGTGTCAATGATCGTAACATCGGGGAATAGCAGAAGGAAACTCTAGAGCGGATACATGTGGGGAGTTACTGACCATCACAAATGAACACTTTGGCCGAGACTTCTTCGAGAGGCAGATGTATCAGTTCGCCCCCATCGCCATGGACGATGCCATTGAATCCCTGCATCGATGAAGAATCGAGACGGACGAAGTCATCTGAACTTTTGGATCCGGCAACGAGGAAGGGGCGTGTTCTTTAGCGCGTGTCAATGAGAGTCACATGATGGCATTTGCTGGGACTTGGCTCCCCCCGAACCACAGATTCTGAGCAACGGAGTGTATGTTGATTGAGCAGGGAGTTTGATTATTGTACATTGTACACATTTATAAGATTTAAAACCACTATAAATGCTGAAGCCTCAGTATCCGTGTGCGTATATGCATCCAAAACTTAAGAGTAGTCCCATATAACCTCCAGTGATACTCACTCCAGTCCAAATTCGCCTCTAGTTTCCAGCTCATAACAGCTTCTTCTTCTCGATCGCGCGGCCAGCCCATCCATTGAGCGTCCCGGCAGGAAATAAGTTCTCCTCCCCAAGCTCCGGTACCAGGATATCGTCGTGAGCTAGCAGCACGACCAAGTTCTTCGCCTTGTGCGCTGACTTGAGGAGCTCGACCGTGTGTCGTGCGACTGCGATGTCCTCGTGATTTTCGCTACTAACCAGGCGCTCTCCGGGATTGTAGCAGAGCCGGTGGTGACAGCAGTCTGCTGCCAATAGCACGAACTGGTTCGGCCCTGTGCGGGCAAGAGCGCACAGGTGACCCGCGGAATGGCCAGGAGCGTCGATGAGATAAAAAGAGCCATCACCGAAGTAGTCGATCGCTTTGGAAAATGGGCCAAGGGGTTTTCCGAGAGCGAAATCGATGTAGCGCACTTTTTGGCCAGCAGGTAGGGGATGGACTTGCCCCTCGGGGTTTTGGGGGTAGGGGGAGGCGAAGGCGGGGGCGGCGCCGGAACCGGCCACGAGTAAAGCAGATGAGAAGGGGGTGAGGTCACCGATATGGTCGAAGTGCAGATGACTAGGAGTAGCAAGCGTCTGTCAGAAAGAGAGGGCATGATCACCGTGAAAGGAGAGACTTACCTGTATATCACAGTGCTTATGTCGCTCGGTTTGAGCTTGCCAGCGTCCAATAGGTCAACGATGTCTGTTTTGCATTTGGTCCAGAACGGGTGGAGGTCTTTTTGTATTTCTGGGGGATATCCCTGTCCATGCTACCCACCAGCCGCGATCAGCACAGCACACGATCGGAGAAAGCCGTTCAGACATACCTTCCGCATTCCAAGATCGAAAAGAGCTCTGCCGTGCTTTTCGTGTTGAATTAAAAAAGAGAACGACGGCACACGTCTTCCAGTCCCTTTTAGCTGCTGGCTCTCCTGATGGATCATATCCTCAAACACCTCCTTATCGGCGAGGTACAGGGAGCCGACAGGGATTGCAGAGACGGAAACATATGTTTGGGATGCGGAGTCCGCTGGCAGGCTCCAATTAGGCGCGGCCATCGTTGTAGGGTTAGGAGAGGGGGAGGTCAGGGGAGATGGGGGGAGTATTGGGTAGAGGTGATCTGGGCCAACAACGCGCCGAGTAACCGTTCAATATATCAGCAAATTGCAATTAGCGAAGCACTGCCACCTGTGGCAACAACTGAACATAACGGTCACCAGGTCCGATCACCAGCGCACACCATGTTCTCAATTGGCACGCTGCTAGAGTATAAGTGCAGACTTGCATTCCAATACGAGCAAAAAGCCGCAATATTAACACGTCAGCCCCGGTTCGAAGCTGGCGATCGACGGTCCTCAGGGGCATTGATGCCGAACGGCCATCATGTTAACCTTATGTGCCACTCCTTCCGTGGCCTTATGGTCTAGTAGTATGATTCCTGCTTTGGGTTGTGATTGAAAGATCTCATGAAATTGCAGGAGGTCACGGGTTCAATTCCCGTTGAGGCCCTTTTTGCCTCCACCCACATAAAACTGTTTTTGCTTGAGACGATCGAGACGGCCCGGGTGCTGGCTCGCGATCGCAAGGGTTACAGTGATACATATATATCATTCCAAAAATGGAACGTAGCGACCTAAAGCGTATGTGATCGATACTTTGTTGATACTTACGTTAGCAGTACAAAGAACAACTTGCTCCGCATCCAACGGGTTCAAGCGTAACGGTGTAAAAACTCAAAAGAGACATCATTGAAGCTTCATCTGAAAGGTTTGCACAAGCTCTGCACCTTTTCTCTTAGGGCCATTTATTGGAAGATATCTTCCTTCAAACAGGTAGTTTTTATCGTCCGGTCCAAGCCCTGAGCAATTCATCCCTTGGCAGTACCGATACTAACAAGAACAGATCGCATTGCCGGTAACTTACATAATATGCAGCACCCTACAATATCGTAAAGGCCGAACTTTCAATGAATCTCGGAAGCGGTGGATCTCAATAACGATGGAATTCCAAAGTTTATCTCGACCGAGCCAACATGGTAGAGATGGGTAGATACTATTAATTCCATTCACATTTTTGCCCTAGATGCCAAGAATACTACAGAATTCCAGCGGGCTTTTCATCTCAGTTGGCGCACACTGAATAACGCTGAGATTGAGAGAGCCACAGGCAAAATCATGATCGGCGCACAGTATTCAATGCTGCACGTTTTCCAAATTCGATCACGGTACACGATTATTAGGACAAATGTACAACAGGGGAGCCCTGTAAGTATAGCATGCTCTATCGCCTGCCATCACGCGATCACGACCGGAGAAGCTGAATTCCAGTACACTGCCAGGATAATGGGATTTCTGTCATAGAGCTACAAATCTGATTCTGAAATCAGAACAGGCACATGGGCTCTGAGCCGGCTCATAGAAGAATTAGTATTCCGCTTGTAGACGGCGGCAAGCTGCTACAAAAGGTCCGGAGGATAGACCTGCGATGATTCGGGGCTATGGTAAGTACTTGCGGCATCGAGCTCGAGGGTCTAGAGTTCATCCAGTATTCTCAGCATGCCGCATTAACACTCATAATTTTATGAGTAAGCCATGACCCGACGGAGACATGAATTCATTGAAAGAAAGACAACAGCCTAGTGTTCACTGTGTGGTACGACTGAACGCCACCTATCTTCACGCGGTCTTCGAGAATCGGCGGGCGCATCGATTGGCAACATCCCTCTTACTAGAAAGCAAAAGTATCGTCCTCTGCGGGGAGAAGATCGGACTGGATTCGGTACCAAATATGCAGGAAATCTTGTCTTACCCTCAATGCATGTGATGTTTTCTAGATCTGCATATTTTGCATGCACCGGGATATCGATTGTGATCGTATTGGTTTTCTGCATTGACGTTGATATTGGTATCGTCTTGGGTACGAATCGTCAATAGTAAAAAGGAGGGCGACACGGTCACGCACATATATTTTGAACAATACAAACGCGTTTCGCACAAGCATGAAGTCATGTAGCTGAAGCATTCAGTTTAGCGGTGTAACGGGATAATCACGGCACTCTGGGTCCTACAGATATGCTGCCCCATTGTATTTCCAACCCGTCTTGCCGAAAGAATTCATGAATCTCCTGCACTCACGGGCTGTGAGCAACTGCCGCCTGGATGCAGTAGAATGAGAATAATATCGGTTGACTGACCTGGATGATGTGCTCCTGCAGCCACCACTGGCATGATTTTCTTTCGAGAGTGAATTAGAAGACTTGCGAGACATACCAAAGTGAAGGACAGCGTCCTCCTAGCAGATGAGGCCGTCGCACAGTATAATGCAGGGAACGGCAATGCTTCTGCATGTCTGGTGAATAAAGTAGTGGAGTCTATATGCAAAGACGGACCATAGGAAAGACTAGATCGCAAGTAGCGAGCATAATCCAACAGACCGAAGGCTCGCCATATGGTAACTTCTAGGGCAGCAGCAGACTCGCTGTTAAACCATTGCTTGTGTTGAGTGATCTGGACGGGCAAGGCTGCTGCACAAGCAGTGACGGCAGTCGTTTTGTATGTCAACACAGATGTGGGAGTGTTATATTGCGCTATTCCAGGACTGAACATGGTTGGCTGGCAAGTTGACTGTCGAAGATCCAGCCCAAGCACATCGGCAGCCAGCGCAGACAGCACAGAGGCTTGACTGCAGAAAGGCACGAGCTAAGATGTAAATCGGTGATACGCACAGTCAGAGAGTGCTGTCGAAATATAGAGTAGCAGTAAAAGTTCGAGCCTCGTTGGCACTAGACCGGCCGATAAAGGAGGCACATCTTCGCGGTTTACAGCAAGACGGGCTCTTTACGCTTCTCTTATTTACCGCCACCATCGCATTACAAACCTTCTTCATTGGACACAATTCTCGACAAACAATGTCTTTAAAATACGAAACGCTATCTCAGAAAGCCACCACCATGACTAACCTGTCTCGTATACCATTCGTGGCCCAGTCTGAGCGAAAGCACGGCTTTACGCATGTCCTGTTGATGACCACCGGCAGTGTGGCGTCAGTCAAAGCTCCACTTATCGTGGAAGCACTTCTGGCAGTGAGAAGATTGCCTCTGCACATGCTTATTATATCCTGAGGTTCCCTATCTTGCAGTATCAAAATGTTAAAGTGGAAGTTGTTGCCACAAATGCATCCCTGGAGTTTTACGACCGTCAGCAGATTACAAAAGCAGGTTCCAGAGTATGGACGAACGAGGACGAGTGGACTGTATGTCTAGGTGACAGACCAGACTATATATTTCTCCATTAAATACAATCCGCAGGGAACGTACAAAATAGGAGATCCCATCCTGCACATCGAGCTGCGACGATGGGCAGACGTCGTCTTAGTCGCACCATGCTCAGCCAATACCCTCGCAAAGATTGCCCAAGGATTGTGCGACAACCTCGCAGTGAGTTTTTCTTGGTCTGTCGTACCTGCTCGAATTCTTAGCTATTGACAGACGTCTCTTCTCCGCGCACTTGCGCCCACAACGCCGACATTCGTCTTCCCCGCCATGAACACACACATGTATGAGCATCCACTCACACAGCAACACGTCCGGACGATTCGAGAAGTCATTGGATATAACGTCGTAGGTCCCATCGGGAAAGCTTTAGCGTGCGGGGACATCGGTAGGCGGACAGCATTTTTAGTTTTCTGGATGGTCTTGTTCATTCGAATTGTCAGGTATGGGCGCTATGACGGAATGGAAGGACATTGTGCAAATAATCGTGGACCGCTTTCGACTCGTGCTGTTATAATAAAAGCTGTGATTAATGATACAGTCGATGCGCTAAACTGGTTATCCGCTGTGCGGGCTCAACGCCCGGCCAGCCAGCCAGCCAGCCCAGCCGGCGTAAAGCTAGAACTCGAGCTGCGCGTCGGTGAACAACGAAAGCGACGGTGCTATGGATATTGATCCTCGAATTTTGAGAATATTATCGCTGAGAATGCAGACATTTCTGTCGTGCTAGTGAGGCTCTGGAGACGAAAGCTTTTGAGCAGAAGATGGCAAGGGCGGAAAAGGTAGCACATACATCGACAAGTTCATTCGGTAAAGCGTTGAGCGCTAGGTGACTCCATCTCGCCAGACCAGGCAACAACCCTGCTAAGCGTAGCTTCAAGGGCTCGGGGCCAAGCTCCTCTGTTGAATCCACAAAGACGTTCTTTTCCAGGCCCTCAAAAAGGACTTCCACTGCGTTGTCGAGGCCCACCTCGAGCACACGCGCAAAGTCGGATGAGGATATTAGGGAGCGGGTCTCATCCAGGAGGCCAGTGAAAACAGAGTCGTGGTGGGTAGCAGCCCAAGGCGAGATGCCACCATGTGTTAAAACGTGCTGCATGGTCTCTGTAGTTGGGGGTAAGAGACTTGAAAGGAAGCTATCATCCGGGTCAGTCGAGGACGACGAGATAGTATTAGCAGGAACTTACTCGATCCGCCTCTCTTTCCCCTCAAATGTAACCTCATGCTCGACTCGTCTCCGCACATCGCTGATAAGCCTATGCAGCTCCACTGTGCCGAGCTTCGTCTTGAGCGAAACCTCATCGAACACTTCCTCCACACCCCTACGCACGCGTTCCGCGATGTCCTTCCAGCCAACATGCAGGATCCACCAACTCAAGGTAAGGTACTTGACCTCCACTTGCTCGCTGATCTCGCTCTCATCATTGTACTCTCCAGCTGCGAGGTCTTCCATGTCAAGCAGACTGCTCATGCCACCTCCGAAAAGGAGGGAAGACATAGACGTGGCAGCCTCAAGTTTTTCTCGGAGTCTCTCTTCTCGCTCCTGCTGTAATATCGAGTGTACGTATTTGGAACGTGCGAGGAGGGTTAATTGGATGCTTGTGAAAAGGGAAAGAAGGGTTGTTGAGTAGATTATTGTGAGTGTGCGGGTGAAGGCTGATGACCACATTAGATATATGATCAGCAGGAAATAGGCTCAGAACTCACTGAGCATCTTCACTTCTCTCCATAACTCTGCCTTACTTCGGGTACTACTTCCCGACGAATCAGGGGTCGGTCCTTCAGAGATAGCCTGAACCAGATGTCAGACTCTAAAAGTGCACTTCCACTGAGATACTCACTAGGTTATTCGCATAGCTCAGACTTGAGCTCGTAGTTGTGATAGAATCAGAGAGCTGAGGCACAGCAAGCAACTCCGCAGGGCCTGTGCTGGGTGATGACGCTTCCCTCGGTTGTGAAGATTGATTAGAGTTAGACATTTGGTCCCAGCTTTGTGTCGAATCGCCGAGATGTGAAGATCCCTCATCTTGTGTAGAGAGTGAGGACACGGAGGCAGAGCCGACGTCGGACCGCGCGTCTGTGTCCTGCACGAGCTGGATACTGGATGTCATGCTAGATTCAGACGGCTCAGGTGCTGGTGAGGGCTCAGGTGCGGGTGAGGGCTCAGGTGCTTCCCGAAAGGCTCTTGACTTTGTCTGCAATTCATATGTAACTCCCTCCACGTCTAATTCCACTAGTA